TAAGTGGGGAAAGAAAGATTAGTATAATGCTAAACAGCATGTGCCACATCACAGGTAGAACCAGTTAAGCCTGTAGTCGAGGAATCATTTGATACTATTTTATAGCTTAAGAGAAGAGGGACAATGCAGAGCTGGGAATTTGTTTCAAGTTTGGCAAAATGTAAAGGTGGTCTAAACCACATATAATTTTTTGGACTTTCAGTATGGTAGTAAGAAACCGACTTGGTATATTTGACCAGAGATAGGAACAAAACCTCTTAAAAATCTGGAGTTCCCTAATGAGTTGGGAACTATAAACAGTAAAAGCCAAAGAAGCCAGAGAGAAACATAAAAACAGGGGTCCTGCACTTGAATGAATTAAAGGCTGGTGGCAATAGGAAGTGCTGCAGAGGCAGAAAAATCAAACCAAATGGAACCTGTACACAGGTGCAAGTTTACACAAGCTACTCTGATACCCAGGCTCATCTGTGTTGACAGCCTAGGAGATGTGTAGCATTGAACTTTTTTTTTTTTTAATTGAGACAGGATATTGTGACGGACCTAAAGCTTTTGGAGACCCTCCTGCCTCTAACTCCCAAATGCTGGGATTGCAGGTGTGTGCTATCATACCAGGCTGCACTGATAATTGAATGGATTCTATCACACGGGTACTCATGCACAGCAAGCACTCCTAACAACTGAGCCATCTCTGCAGCCTGATGGGAACTTTCAAAGCGAAAAATTACGAATCCTAAAAAGCCAAAAAGCTGGACCAATTTATCACTCAGCAACCAGTCTGTCTTGACCCCCTTTCACAGTTACATGGTCATTCACACACTGGTTTTTCCTGGTCATTCACATAAGTTCTGGCCAAATATCAAAACAACAGTCAGCTAACTTGAAAATTACTTTTAGGTTCTAATGCAAATGCTGTGATCTATTATATTTTTGTCTTTGATTATTTGGGGGGGGGCATGTCTTTTTGAGACAGGGTCTCCCTGTAGCCCTAGTTGGCCTGGAACTATGTAGACCAGGCTGGCCTCAAATACACAGAGATCAGCCTGCCTCTGCCTCCTAAGTGCTGGGACTACAGGCGTGCACCACCATGCCTGGCTTTATTTTTTACTTAAAAATTTACTTATTTTTACTTTATATGTATGAGCGCTTGTCTGCAATGCAATGTTGGTGGAGGTCAGAAAAGGGCACTGGATTCACTGGAACTGGAGTTAACCACTATGAGAATGCTGGCCCACGCTCTTAACCACGGAGCCATCTCTCCAGACCTTTTTCTTTCTTTCTTTTTTTTTTTTTTTTTTGGTTTTTTTGAGACAGGGTCTCCCTGTAGCCCCAGCTGTCCTGGAACTCACTATGTAGACCAGGCTGGTCTTGAACTCACCGAGATCCGCCTGCCTCTGCCTCTGCTGGCGGGATTAATGGCGTGCGCCACCATGCCTGGCCCAGGCTGGCTTCAAATTCATGATCCTCCCCTTTTTATTTCCTGAATACTGGGATTGATTATAGGTATGCCAAACCACACGCAGCCAGTTAATTTTTCTCTTATTACTATTATTAGCAGAATTGTTGTTGAGACAAAGTCTCACTATTTAACCTTGGCTGGTCTGAAAATTGCTATGTAGATGAGACTGGCTATCCACTTACCTGTCTCAAGTGCAACCATGTACTGCCACTGTGCCCAGTTTATCAGTGAACTTTTCTAATACTCAAAAAATGTTAGATGGAAAGAATTTGCTCTAGTTTGCTTTTTGTTGCTGTGCTAAACACCATAACCAAAAGCAACTTGGGGAAAAAAAGGTTTATTTTAGTTTACAATTCCAAGTCCTGATCCACACAGAATGCAGGAAAAAGAACTTGAAGAGGAAATCATGGAGGAATGCTGCTTACTGGCTAGCTCTCTGGCTCATGTTCATTAACTAGCTTTCTAACACAGTCAAAGACCACTTGACAAGGGATGGTAACTGCCCACAACAGTGGTCAATGTATACAGTGCCCCAAAGACAAGTCTAGAGGCCAATTGATGTAGGAAATCTTTCAATTGAGGTTTCCCCTTTTCAGGTTGACTCTAGATTGTGTCAGGCTGTAAACAAAACCTAACTAGGTAGGCTGGAGAGATAGCTCAGCAGTTAAGACCACCGGTCCTCTCGCAAAAAACTTGGGTTCAATACCCAGCACTCACATAGTAGCTAGTAACTGTCCACAACTCTAATTCCAGGGAACCAAAACCCCTTTTGTAGCCACCATGGGCATTAAACACATAGGTGTATTTAAATATATGCAAGCAAAACACTTATACACATAAAAATAAAAATTTATAATTAAAAAACCAAAACCAAGTAACCAGGGGCTGGAGAAATGGTTCATTGGTCAAGAATGCTTGCTATTGCAGAGAACTTGAATTCAGTTCTCAGGAGCCACAATGGGCAGTTCACAACTGTCTGTAACTCCAGTTACAGGGATCTGATGCCCTCTTCTGGCTTCCACAGGCACTCATATATATATGAACATATATACACGACAGAAACATGCACATAAAAAAATTAAAGATGGACATGAGCGCTGAGGGTCCTTTCATATATGCAGGCGAACACCTATACACATGAAAAAATTTTCACTATTTTTAAATTATGTGTATATGTGTGTGTATGTTTTTGCACATGAGTAAAAAACAGGGCTGCTGTGAGTGCTGCAAATTGAACTCAAGTTCTCTGGAAGAGCAGTATGAGTTCTTAACCACTGAACCATCTCCCCACTGACCTCCCTTTTTTGGAGACAGAGTCTCACTATGTAGCCCTGGCTGGTCTGGAACTGACTATACTTTGAACTAACAAAGAACCTCCTGCCTCTGATTCCTGATTTTCAGGATTAAAGGTGTGTGCCACTATGCCCGGCATAATAGCTATTTTCAATCAACTCATTTACTGGCACTATCTCACTAGGAAAATAGCTGCATCTAAGTCCTCTGTGAAATGCCTCTCAGCCCTCTGGCACAGGAGGCAGCATCATGGCATTGGCTTCACTTTGGAATCAGATGGAGCTCAGTGTGACTCCTGGCTTCACCAAGGCTATGTGGCCTTACAATGTGATCAGATCTTCAACAATAAAGTAACAACAAGAAGTGAAATGGTGCAAGTGAAGAGCAAGGTGGCCTAACACTGTTTATCAACAGAAATTTTTTTTTTTGTCTTTTTGAGACAGGGTCTCCTTGTAGCCCCAGCTGTCCTGGAACTCACTATGTAGACCAGGCTGGCCTCGAAATCACAAAGATCCACCTGCCTCTGCCTCCCAAGTGCTGGGATTAAAGGCGTGTGCCACCACACCCAAAGTATAGTCTCAATACATAGCCCACACTGGCCTAGAGCTTGTTATGAAGTTGAGACTGGCCTTGTTAGAAGCTGAAATTACAAGCAAGAAAACTGTGCCTAGTCAAGGAGCTGAATTTTGAAATGACTGTGTTGAAAATTACTTTAAATCTGTGCTGTTGAGATTTCCTGACTGCAATTTAATAGGGGTATATGAGAGAAAGAATTACTATACCTCCATTTTTAAATAAAATCAATAAAGTTACATAAAGTAATTTTGGGTTGTGAAAAAAAAAAGATTCATGTTGAGATCACAAGCTGTCAGATGTTAACTTTACATGCAACCATGGCTAATCAGGTATGTCTGAATATTTCAATAAAGTATTCAGAAAGCTGTTCTCTGAGGGAAGTCAGGTGTTAGGGACTTTCTGCGGCTTCCAAGAACTACCCTATATTTATCTTTGCTGGCTTCCTTTGCATAACCTTGGTCAGAATATCTGCATTCTACTCCAAAAAGTGCAAATTTTGGCTCTGAGCAAGAACTTACACAATGTAGAATTCCAAATGGCACAAATTGATAGGATAACTACTAACAAAGCAATGTATATAGAATTACTATGCTGGGTAGCTTTACTTGTCGCCTTGACACACCTGGGTAAAAGTAGCCTCAAATAGGGAATTTCCTCTATTGGAATGGCCTGTGGCCATGTCTTGGGGTATTTTCTTGATTGCTGAGTGATGTGCACCACTGTGGTCAGTGCCACCCCTGGGCAGGTGGTCTTATATTGCATAAGAAAGCAGGCTGAGCAAAGACCATGAAACCAAGCCAGTAGGAAGTGTTCCTCCACAGCCTGTGCTTCAGCTCCTGCCTCTAGGTTCCTGCCCAGAGTTTCTACCTGGGGCTCCCTCAGTGATGAACTGTGACCTGGGAGATGTAAGCCAAATAAACTGTTTCATCTCCAAGTTAGCATTGGTCAAGAATGTTTTTGTCACAGCAATCAAAGGCAAACTAGAACAATTACCTCACGTCCCTTAGAAAAAAAATTAAAAATGGTAGAAACATAAATGAGTCATAAATAAGTCATGAAAGTTAACATTTTCTCTGATGACAGTATATAAGACAATCTAAGAGTAGATCGCCAAACTTGTTGCTAGGGCTCAGCAGACAGACTGGCCTGGAAATCACAATCATTCTACCTATGCCTTGTGAATGCTGAGATGATGGGCAAATATACTTAGCGTATGGTTAAATAAAATATACTGCACATTCAGAGCCCTGTCTACTCAAAGAAAAAGTATCTAATGGAGAGGACTATGGAAAGAGAACAGGATTTATATGATGATACAGCCAGATATTAGCCTATGATTCTGTACATGACAAATAGAGAAGTTCAACTGGTTTTATAGAAAACCAGCCCCTTGGGACTGGAAAGATGGCTCAGTGGTTAAAAGCACCGTTGTTCTTGCTTAAAACTCAGGTTTCAATCCCGCACCCACATGGCCGCTAATAACCATCTGTAACTCCAGTTTCATGGGATCTGACACCTTCTTCTGTCCTTTGAGGGCAATGCACTACATGGGTGGCACTACCACACATACACAAAGAGTAAAAATAAAAATCTCAGCTCCAGCAAGGTTAACCTCTCTGATGATCTGTGTTATAGGATGGATACATTTTTTCAGTGAACAAAGCTTTCCTCTTACCTGGCTGGGGAGCATGGGGCGGAGGCATCTGATGGTGCATCAGAGGGTAAGGAGGGGGTTGCTGATGAGGCAACATGCCAGGGTGCCCTGCTGTTCCAAGGGCAGCCAGAGCAGGTCCTCCTGAGTGCTGGTGTCCTTGCTGAGGGTTCTGGCCATGTTGCTGCTGTTCCATTTGTTGTCGGGCTCGTAACTCAGCATATTTCAGTTGCTCCATGTGAAAGTTCTGGCGTTCAGTAAGCAATTGCTGCCTCTGTTGTTCTAGCTGTTTAAAAAAAAAAAAAAAAAGGGATGAGAAATGCTACCACGAGAGGATCTGAGGACTGGCTGACACACAAGGCATCTACACTGTCACAGAGGAACAGTCTCCTTGCTAACTGCAACACCTACAGCAAGAAGAAGGAAGTATAGTTCCTTTTAGATAGCCATGACCATCACCAGGGATGTCCCTAGGTTTAGTCTATAACCCACCCACAGCAATAGAGCTAATACCTTATGGAGCTACTTAGGACAGATTGGGAGGCTTCCAATTTATTTGATGATTTTTTTTTTTTTTTGAGACAGGGTCTCCCTGTAGCCCCAGCTGTCCTGGAACTCACTATGTAGACCAGGCTGGCCTTGAACTCACAGAGATCCGCCTCCTCTGCCTCCCAAGTGCTAGGATTAAAGGCGTGAGCCACCACACCCGGCTGATGACTATTTTTATCTATCTATCTATCTATCTATCTATCTATCTATCTATCTATCTCTATCATCTATCTATCATCTATCTATCATCTATCTATCATCATCTATCTATCTATCTATCTATCTATCTATCTATCTATCTATCTATCTATCTATCTATCTATCTATCTGGTAGGCATGCGCCACCATGCCTGGCCCAATATTTTTATTATCTTTATTTTATGTGTATGAGTGTATTGCCTGCATGTATGTGAGTGCACCTGCATCATGCAGTGCCACAGAGGTCAGAAGAGGGCTTCGGATTACCCTAGAACTGGAGTTACAGACAGTCACCATGTTGGTGCTGGGAACCAATCCTGGATCCTCTGCAAGAGCAGCCAGTGTTTTTAACCTGCTAAGCCCCTATTATTACTATTTGGGGGATAGAGTCTTGGTATAGGTCTCAGTGACCTGGTGTTGCTCAGGTCGCCCTTAAGTTACTGAGAGCAAGTACTTCTCTGGACTTAGGACTATAGACAGGTGCCACTGTGCGGGATAGGCCTGTACATATGCCAACGTTTCAAGCCTATCTAACTTTCCCAGGTGTTTTTTTTCTGGATGCCATCCATTTGGTTACTGTCTATCTTAAAATATAATAGCAAAGTTAAATCTTTTATATGAGTTGACATGGTCTTAGCAAACACACTTTTCTATCAAGAACTTTGGAATTGCATTGCAAAACTTAGCTTTTAAAAACTCAAAATTACATTGGGCGACACATTCACAGAATATCTTCTCACTGCTTAGGTACAATGCTGCAGGAATCTTGGTCAACTCTCATTTCGCGCCCACACATCTGAGACAGCATGACAGTGTCTGACTGGGTCTTCAGGGCTAAGAAATGAAAGCAACCTAGTGTCCCTGACAAATGGATAATGAAAATCAGTACATTTCTATAATGGAGTTCTACTTGGCAACAAAGATGAAATCATGAAATTACCAGGTAAATGGATGGAACTAGAAACTGTTATACTAAGTGAAGTAACACAGACTTAGAAAAACAAATGACGTATGTTCTCCCTCATTTGTGGATTTTAGCACCAGGGCCTTATATGTGGGTATATATTCTGATGCAACTGCAGACCCAGGAAAATGGAACGGAACCCTGGAGGTAAAGGGAAAGAAGGACCCTGAGAGAGAGGGACAGCAGACGACAGATGTTACCAAGACTGAAATGTGGGTAAAGGGGAAGGGGAGATGGGGGGGGACAGGTATTATCAAGAGGAAAATGGGGGAAATAGGGGCACTTTAACTGGAGATGGAAGAGGGAGGATCAGACAGGGAAAGATAAAGGAGACACAAATATTGCTTAGCTGGTGTAAAAAACCAGAGGGGTGGAGGTGGGGGCTGGAGATGGCTCAACAATTAAGAGCACAGGCTGCTCTTGTAGGAGCTGGGTTCCTATCCCAGCATCCACATAGTGGCTAACAATCATCTGTAACTCCAGTTCCAGGGGAATCCACTGCCTCTTCTGACCTCCACAGGCATTGCATGACACGGGTGCTCTCACATACATGCAGGCAAAACACTCATGCACATAAAACAAAAACAATAAAATACTTAAAAAAACACACAAAAAAACGGAGCTGGGTATGGTGGGAGTGGATACCTTTAATCTTAGGACTTGGAAGGCAAAGGAAGGCGGATCTCTGGGAGTTCAAGGCCAGTCTGGTCTACATAGCAAAAAAACAAAAAACATAGGGAAATGTATTAGTTCAAAACTTACAGAAAAATATACATACAATATGTATATAGCTGAAGGCTATATAATAAGAAATACAGTGCCATACAGGAGAAACCTCCGTTTGAGTTGTTGGTATTCCAACAAACACAGGCTATTTCCACAGCTCTCGATTATTTTAACAGGGCACCTTCTTGACCATAACTACAATACGTTAAAAGTTTAGGCTGACTCTAGTCTCTGAAATTATCAGGCAGTTGGTCTAGGGTATGGGAAGACATATCCTCTAGACCCTGGTTGTCTTGGGAATAGGTCAGACTGTCCCAGAGTACACCTGCCAACAGCAGATTTATGGCTTCTGTAGGTTATGCTTGGCTTGCTTCTGCAAAATAGTAATTGTTACTTAATAGAACAGAAATTATTAAGGGGACTAGGCTCTCCACCTGTAAGCTTGGGAGCTTCAACTTTTCTAGGGTAAGCTGTATAAAAGCTTATTCTAGAAATGGCTCAGTGCTACACACTTGGGTTCCTGACACCCTTGTGTAGTAGCCCCGGCCAGTAACAACTTTCCTTCAGCAAAACTTCAAGTGGTCTTCTCTGGTGAAGCACTCCACAACAATCTCCCAGAATTAGAAGATAATACCTTATTGCCAAAAACAGGACATACTTCAGGCACAGACCTTGAAGCAATGGACTGACCTTGAAGCCTTCTCCCTGAAGACTAGCTGTCAAAGTTTTGGAAAACAATATGCAAGCCACAAAGGGAGTAAAATCAATCAATGGTCCAACCCCAACTTTAAACCCTAAAAACCACAATGACTGGCACAGCAAACTATATTGGGGCATTAGTGGCACTTTTTATCTCAGGAGTAATCAACAGCTACCTAATTGGACTTACAAGCCCTTTCAATCAGAGGGAACTCCTATGGTACTATAAACATAGCCAAATACACATGACTGGAGAGGTCACAGATCTTAGAGAAAACCCCAAGTCTGTCATATACCTAGAATAAATGTAATTTCTTAATATATGTTAAATATGTACCCTTATATTTAGAGACAAGTATGCCAGTCATTACTCATCAAAGAAGCTTCTTTTGCAACACACAGAGACTACTACAGAGTTCAACAACTGGTCACACACAGAGAATGTGTCTGTGAGATGCCCAACTCTAAATAACATATCTACAATAGAACCTTGACACCTAAGGCTCACGGGATATAATGAAATGGGTAGAGAGAATACTATTGCATCTCTCAACTCTCATTAGAGAAGCTTCCCCATGTAACAGAGGGCAATGAACAAAAAGGGCCACAATTGGCCCAAATGTAGAGAACAAGAGACCACAGAGTGTGGGTCATTGAATAGGATGCCTATATTAAACATAACCCACCCAGAGCTCAGAGACCATTTTGGAAGAGGGGGACGGAAATTTTTTAAGAGTCAGGGAAGGAGGTGCATGACCATAGGAAACAAGAGTCTTAGAGGCTCCTTGGGACATTCATTGCTCATATGAATTTACAGCAATTTTGACAGCAATGAACAAAATGCATGCCAACTCACTCAGACAAAAACAAGCATAGAAACTGGGGAAATGGGCAGGAGGCTACAACTTTGGCCAGGAATGACTGGCAGCTGATCACTGCTGGGTGAGGGAGTCCTAGCCAGTTGGGAAGTCACTAAGGTATGTGCCACCATTCCTGACCACAAAACAAAACAAACCTAGATTTACAGATGTATAGAATATAATGATGACAAGCATAAGAAGGGTAGAATTATTTTTCAGTAGTGACTCCAATCCATCATTTTCCAGAGCAAGACCTGTGTCAATACAGTCCTTTTCTAGAGCTGCACTGTCCAATGCAATGGCCACAAGTGATATCTAGCTGCTGAGTATCTGAAATATGGCCAACATAAACTGAGATGTGCTGTTGGTATAAACTTCAAATTAAAACTTCAAGACTTAATAAGGGGAGAAAAAAATCCACGGTGTGTGTCAGCATGTGCACCGTAATATGAGTGCAGAGGTCAGAAGACAACCTGAGTGAGTTGGTGCTCTTCTATGATGTGGGCTCTGGGGATTCATCTTGGGTTACCAGGCTTGGCAATAAGTACCTTACCAGCTGAGTCATGTCACTGGTCCATTAAAGAAATTCGTTTTGGGGGGACTAGAGAAATGGCTCAGCAGCTAAGATCATGGGGTGTTTTTCTTTCTCTTTTTTGGTCTTTTTGAGATGGGGGTCTATTGTAGCCCCAGCTTCAAGGAAGGGTGATCATAGTAGGGTCTTGTCTATTTTAATATTTTGTTGGCATTATGATATGTAGATATTAGAAGTTCAATTCTGGAGGAAGATTTATCAGTGAGATGTACAAAACTAAGTGAGATAAAATAGAGAACTAAAAATTTAAGACTATGGTTTTGGTTTTGCTTTCTTCCAATTATTCTTTCTAGGAAATTTAGAAATCTGTAATTTTCTGAGGTTAGACTGATTACCAGAAATGGATTTCTTACCTATATTCTTGACTCACTCTTGTTCTAGACAGGTTGGATAAACTCCTGCAGCTATTTAAGAACTATAGAAAACAGGTCAAGATCTGCTCTGTAATTAATCTGAATTACTAATGGACAAATTTTTTTCTGTCTCTGAAGAGAAGTTTTGATCTCTGGATTACCTAGCTAAGAGTTTTTGTTTTGTCTTTTTTATTAAGAGAATGGGAGTACTTGTGAGACTGAGGCAGGAGCACCACTAGTTTGATAACACCATGGATTACAAAGTAAGCTCTGGATCAAAAAACCAGGAGAAAGCCAGGCACCGTGGCGCACGCCTTTAATCCCAGCACTCGGGAGGCAGAGGCA